TTAAAGGGGTACACAAATATTTTACAAATCAAAGAAATAAAATTTTACTTAAAAAGTAAGATAATCTGCGCATGGAAATCCACAGCAACATGTTTTAATAATAAAACTATCTTTATGTAATCAATATAAAATGTATAGTTCAACTAGCCACAACTTTACGGTTTTGAACTTTGGACCAATATATTTCTTTGTTATAGGGAGAACGTTTATGATTGGACATGGTCTTAGACTCTACTTCTGTTGATTGGCCTTTTACATTTTGGAGTTCATTTCATACCTTTACCTAACAGTTCTGTGAAAATGTTAGTCTCGGTCACCCAGAACCTTCTAGTCTTCAACGTATATTAAATTCAAAATTCTAACATGCTATCGTCTAATTTCTAACTTCTATTCATGTAATTTCTAATTTCTATCCATGTACTTTCTAAATTAAGACAATGTATAATCCAACTTCATTATTTTTTCAGTGTAAATTTTAATTCTGTTTCATCTTTTTTCTGTTATTAAGACAAAAATTGTCTACTTCATTGTCGCTTTACATGTTAAGCATGAACCTCGAACAAATTTAAAATTTTGATACTTCTACCTGGCAACCATCATCATGATGTGGTTTGGTGTCGCCACCGTATGCTCAATTTGGCGATTGCATGAGCACCTGATCGGGACCATTATGTTTTTTTTTTATAAACAATATTTTTTATTCAGGATGCCTGAATGGGATTGGGGAACAGGCTTAGTCTATGTAAAACCCCTCTCGTCAGATTGAATGGTTTGGCGAAGTGTTGAAATTTGAAAACAACATAAAACGTGATATGGTTTACAAATATTATTTCAAATAAAACCTGAACAGTATTTGTTCATTTTTAAAAGATCAACAGTATATAAATATTGATATTGGCTTAAATGTAAAAACCAACATGAATCATTGGATTAATTAAAAAAAAAACCCCATAGATATGGTCCATGAAGAGAGAAATTTTACAATAAAAAATTAACAGTGTTGGATATTGAACTGGTAATGCAAATGTATTTTCTGAAATGGCAATTCTTAAATAAATTTCAAGGGCGTCCTTAGATTTTGTTCACGGTAATGTAAAAGACCGGATAATCTAGCCAATGACCTAGTTATTCTCAAATGTTGACAACCCATCCAGACTAATATTTGTCTGAACGGTAGAGACTATAGCCCCGTTTACACTTGGTCGCGATAAGCGTTCCGTTCTCGGAACCGTTCCAGGCCGCGATAAATTTCAAGAAAATGGCCGGTTTTCATTAAATGTACAATAACCGGCGTTGGAACCACGCATGGCTCGCTAATTGTGGAACTCTTCATAGAAAAGTTAATTTCAGTCACGAGGAAAAGGGTCAAAATTAATGCTAACGCATACGCAGAAATCCGTACTGAGAATCGTTTTGAGACCTGATAGCGTTTACACTACGAAAATTTAACCGTGCCGTACTGAGAACGGTGCCGAGGCCATCTCACTTCAGTGGTCCAGAATGGCACGGTTTTCAGTACGACACGGTTATGTTACGTTACCCGCACCGTTCCTGGCACGCCTTAAGTTTGTAATGTAAACGGGGTTAATGAAAATGTGCATGTATGTGTATACACGTCCAAAAAACAAAACAATCAACCACTTCTTCAATCAAATCATAAGCTAACTGTCTGTTCTTAATGAGCTTCTTCAGAAGGTTCAATGCATATCAATAATTATACACAGACCTTGCAGTTTTATACATACTAGAACAACAAATTACCACCAGGAGTCCCTGATGTACACATAACACGCTCCAGGGCCATTTCCTGGATGAAAATAATTCCATTTAATTAATAATAACATATGATTAAATGTAAATCATATAATTGTAATGATATTGTAAGCCCGGTAATGGATTGGTAGGGTCGCCCACATAGCATGTTAATTGGTGTTTGTCGAACTTATGCTCTTATTGATTCAAATGTACAAAATAATGACACCATTATTGTTTTAGCATTATCGCCTAAGGCTATCAATATGACAATAGTCTTATACTGACAATACATAGATAACTATTTACTGGTCAGTCGATTGTATTGGTAAATCTATTTATTAAACAGTAATTCTCACCTAATCACCAACTATTGTTGGACATTTCGAACCAACAGATAAAGGAATATTGTTTGAGGTACCGTGAGTCTTTTATATACCAGTGAGTCTTTTATATACCCGGTGTCGATTATCTAGTTTCAAGTATCGTTTCTCTGTCTAATTACTGGACTATGATTAATCTGTGGGGAAATGTAATTATTGTATTCCTAGTAGAGACCGATACATGGACCTTGGAATTCATCTTATTAAAACTGTGTTTGGATATAACATTTGAAATTTTGTAAGATTCTTTGTTTTCAAGAAGTTTAACATCGTGTAGAGTAAGTTTTACGTGTACTTGATTAATTCTAGTTTATTGGTTTTGAGTAACATTATTTGTTATAAGACTGATAGTATGACACTATATCACTCGAGTCAAGTGGGCCACGATTTCTTCCAACGAGGATAATATTTGTAGGATTTGTCGTCCTAATGATTTGGTTTCAAGGAGAAGTACAGTTTTCATTCGGGTATTGAATTGATTGCTCTTTACCTAATATGTTATTTTGTTTACTATATTTTATTTGGGTTTTGTCTGTACTATCTGAACATTGATCTGGTAACGTGTTAATTCAGAGTTTCCTTTTGACAAGATAAATGAACAAACTAAATTTAATTAAGTAATTTCTTCTTTTGTTTTTAGGAAAACACATTTATCAAACCAGTAAGTCATTGATAAAATCTTTAAAAGAGTTTATATCATTTGTTTCATCTATAAAAGTGGATAAGATAAAACTTTGTATATGCTATGACATGATTGGCATATATAGCGGCTTCACGAGAGGTATATCGCTTACCTCATCCTCTGAATTTGGGTATTAATGGTATCACTCACTATTGGTGTATCACTAATGTATCCCAGGATTGGAGTATTAGCGATATCACGTCTGAATTGGGGTATTATTGTTAAAATCCTCTGAATATGTGTATCACTAATGTCATCCCCCTGAATTAGTGTATGACTAATGTCATCCTCTGGATTGGTGAATTAACGATATCATTCACTGAATTATTGCAAACATCCCCATAGATTAGTGTATCACTAATGTCATCCCCTGGATTAGTTTATTGTTAATGCCATCCTCTGAACTGATGTACTAATGGTTTCATTGCTTGCCTTGTTATATTATTGATATCGTCCTCTGATTTGGTTTATTGCTGTTGTCAACCTCTGAATTGATGTATAAGCTGGATTGAACTATTTTTATATGTCGTATAAATTAGGTTTTATGTATCAGGCCCCAAATTAATATATTACTGTTCATCAAATAAACCCGGTAATGTTTTAATCTCATGTATGTATGTATCATGTGCGATGTCCGTCATCTAGTTTGGAGAATGTCGATGGGACCTAGAAATTGACACAAATGGGTCGTATCGCATATACTAATGTAATGTGAATGTACATGTATATAAACTGATTTACATTCAATCGTTTCCATACTTACTCTAATTTAAAATCCGTTATGTTCGGCGAAATACGCCAGAAGTCTCAATTGAATAACAATCCCTAGCGTTTGGTTATTCCAGTCTGCACTCTACACTGATAGTATTTATTTCGCATGCTCGTCAGATAAGAATATGGCGTCAACGTTTGACATGACGTGTGTAATATGTCTAACCTCGTTCTTCGAGTCCCTTGTTACAAATAGCGCTGAAACGCATTATGGTACACGATTCGTTTACCAATGGTAAATGTTTTTTTGTCAGAAGCCCATCTTTTCCCGGTAAGCTTACAACATCACTGTTCATTTAAATTGACAAATAATTCGTGTTTTCAATGTCGAAGACTTTGACTGATATTGAGTTAGAGACTTAGCTACTTTAAAGTAAAATCCAAAATTTCTTGTGTTGGGTTCATTTAGGCTGTCTGCTTGGGTGTTAGATTGAATGTGTAAACGTATCTAAATTACCTGCTAGATTACAACAGTAATATTCAGATTGTAATACATGATTAATGCTAGTTCGTCTGGTTTTCTTATTTACTGCAATCAGGGGCGGATTACTTTGTAAGGAAATGGACCTTACCATAGGGCTCCGCTCCAAAAATAGGACCTGCATTTTTAGTTGCCAAACAATTTCTGACTCGACTTATGTTTCTTGTGAATTTTGTCAATAAATCACCCCTTATTCCATCACAGGGCAACACTTAAGCTATTCAGTGAAAGATTATGTTTTGGATATAAATTATGATTCAGTTGTAGGTTATGAAGTAGAGTAGAGAGTGGGTGGGACACTTGGGAAATAGGAACATAATCAAGCGCAAGAAACTGTCTTGATCTTAAAACTCCAGGGCTAGTCTAGTCTATGATTGACTTATTTAAAAAAAACATTGGTATAACTCTGAAACGTTGGGGCCCACCTCTGTTTAAAATACCACCATTTTTTATTATCAGACTTCCTTCCTATACTGTGCTTGTGCTATTTCTTATAAAATGACCAAACACAAGAACCCTTCGAAGACGAAAACTACTGCTTATGGAGTATATCTTGGTGTTGCATAGCATCCCACTCTTTTCTTAAATCCGCCCCCGATTGCGACATTTAGTGGTTAATGTTATATAAATCGTCACAGCAATTATCAAGGGTAATAACCAGTTTGTCTGAAATATCATTCACATCAAGATCTAAAGGTAACATGGAGCAAATATCTCAGCATTTGAGAACCATAGAAGCCTTGGGAATTCAAGTTCAGTTGAGCAGTGTGTGTGGTTTTTTTTGTTGAGTCGTAATCGTCGATTTGTCATTATTGGTCTGACATTGCAACATTATAAATTACTTAAACAAAAATCATTTGTATTTTCATACTAAAGGGATTACAGAATGATTTCTTATTTTCTCATCCATATATCATGAAATAAACGAAAAGACTGAACTCATTACTGGAAGAAGATTGACGTTATAGTTTATTCTAAGAATTTTATGGGGTTTGTGAATTAGCATTGTTAAAATGGGTGTAAATGTGTGTTTTTGAGATCAAGAAACATTTTATGCACAACTAGACACAGACTCGATCATCACACAGCATCACTATGTTCAGTGCAATTGGAACCCGGACATCCTTTCTACGACCGAGAGATGGTATTTTACCCTACTCGCTGGCTGACAGACGCCCCAGTTCATCATCTTCTATACATGTTCAACGCAAGGTTAGTGATTAAATCATCTACATTTCTTAGGGGAAAATATTAAGGGCGATAAGCATTTCTCGATATTAAAAGATTTTATGTAAAAACAAGTAGTGAAATTTGATGTCGGCAAACGTCAGTTGGGTTGCAAAGTTCTTCCGTAGGTCTAAATTCAAATAACTGTGTGAATAGACATTGATGACATAAAACACTGCTGATAATTTAATATGATATCATTTTACACTGTCTTCGTGCATTGGTATTACTCTCGTCTGACAACGTACGAGACAGGCTTTGCTAAATTTATTGGAACGGCTGATACCATTACTGGGCTCATCAGTCCTGTACTTTCTTGTCGCTTAGATGGAATAGACACCGGCTATTGGCTATTTAAAAAAACAACCCCAAAAGCTAAAATATGCTGTGCTTATGGGATTAAATTATTCATTGTCAAATCATCCCATGTTAAATTTGGAAACACGTACAACTGAAAGTAAGTTAATAATCATTATTTTATTTGATAGAAGATAACAATTTGGATTATTTAATACTAGCCGGTCACCTCTGGCTTGGTTTCAATGCCTGGTGTGAGCGTATTTGGCTTGGAAATAGGTGGGCCTTCTCAACCTCGTAGGTTTACTCCGGTTTCCTACCACCCGAAAGAAAAGACCCCTGTTCGTGCGCTTAGATAATAAAAATAGGAATTGACTGCAATATCAGCCTCGGTGGAAGCGGACGTTAAACACCAAGAACAACAACGCCCCATAGGATAATCTTTGGGAGGCATTTATGTATGTTTTATAGTTTATTGTCCCAGAGGAGTTACCATGCAAAAGTGTGAAATGGACTTCTAAAACCCCGACAGTTCCCATCCACTCGCGCCAGGATTAATACCCGAAACATATTATGTATGTTTTCAATGTTCACAAAAACCTCTCAAAACTGATTGTCATGACAACAACACCATAACGTTGTTGTTCCTGCTGTAGAAACATCATGGACTTCAGATGTTGAAATTTATCGATGGGTCATTATCCTTGTCATTCGGTGATCTATGAATACAGTCAGCTAATAAGGCAATCCAATACTCGTAAAAATTAAAAATGGGCTAGTAATTAATTTCCTTATCTCGGTACGTCTTTATATAGCACCCCCCACTCCCCGCTTTTGCGTGACACTTCTGTTGACTTTTTGGTCTAGAATTGAAGAAGAGTGTTTGAATTTTCATTCTTTGCCAGACGTTGGTGAATATTCAAGAATTTGGTGCCGAATTAAACATATATGAAATCGAATGATCGCCTACTAAAACGACGCCACTACCATATGTATTCCTTTGACCAGACCTAGCAAAAAATCGAAATGGTTAACCCCCGTCTATACTTTTATCAGATGAGCGCGACGTGTTAGGCTCTTTGTGATTATAGAGGTTAAGATCACCGGAATGTTATAATTAAGCCAATAAATGGCATGGATTACCTCCCTTCATAGGTGTAGTTACCATATCGATTTTACAGTACAATTATCACGTGTATCTCAAATTACAATATGTTTCACTGAATTTGATCATGTAAAAAAATACGTTGCTTAGACGTTACATATTACTCAAGGTTGGTGTTAAAGTTTTCCTTTGGAAAGACATTTTTCGTCACAATCGTCGACCAATCCCGCATCATCCCTGGAAGATGCTGCAATAGAAATGCCGACCACGGTTTATGGTCGAGCTAGATATTTATGACTAAAAAACAAGTCCCAGTCCGAAATCCATGTCTAAATGGTTTAATTGGGTCAAATAGGCCAAAATCCAAAATGGTCATCGGTATTGACTCGACAATTTCAATTTTCTCCGATTTGCATAATATGATCAAGTTTGGTATCAAAATATATGTTTTCAAGGTAGCCGAACCCATTTCCAAACAAATTGTGACGATTAACGATACCACATAGTGAGACCCGTTTTCCATGTGTACGTTTTTGCGACGTTTTCGCCGGCGAAAAAGTCGGTCTAATGCAAATGTAATGGGACCGTTTCTATGTAACCGGCGAAAACACGACGGAAACGCCGCGAAAACCCATAAATGGAAAAGTATTTGGGGAATATTCATGACGACTGCCAATTTTGTCTGGAAAATCTGAATTTTACTAAATTATCAAAATGTACGTTATCAAGATAGCTCAATCTATTTTCGTGCCCATTATGTCATGTTGGTGATAAAATTCCCCCCCCCCCTCCCCGAGTCACGATAGGGGATAATCCAGTTAGGGCGTTGGGGATTTTCCTAGTTAGTCCTACCACTACTACGATGAAATTCACTCATTTACAATTATATGATAGAGTTTTCTATCAAAATATATGTTTTCGGGGTAACTGAAGCCCGTTTCCACAGAACCGGATTAACCTGGGACCTCTGGTCGATCAGGGCCCCTCAACATATTCCCCATCAAATTCTTCATTTTAACCATAACACCGTAAACAAAATCTTCATCTCCACGTTATTTAATTTGCACAGCTTACGAACTCTGTCAATAAAAAATACTTATATTAAAGGAACACTCCCAGATATAATATATATTGTTCAATAAAACTGTTTGAGTGGAGATGGTAGACTCTTGTAAACCTTTATTCTAATTCCGTCAAACAATCTGTAGGCTTATATAATACTTGTTGAAGAAATGCAAATTCTGAGTTTCCATTCAGTGATGTGTATGTGTCTGGATAGCCATGTCTAGCCGGTCGTCATGCTTTTCTAGTCACTTATAATTACAGAACGAAATTCCATAATGAGTTACGTTTTCCACTTTTAACTAGGCTAAAAGCAACTCTAGCGAATATTTTTGAATCGGAATACCTCAATGTTTTGATTTGAAATTGTCAAAATAGACTGTATTGTTACAATTTGCCGGCAGATTTAATACTTAAACTCACTTTTATATACCATGCACTGTAACACTTCTGACTGACCATATAAAACATTTGGGATCAATAATTATTCAAACCATGCAATTCTATTTTAAGTCATGATCATTTTAGTTTCCATTGATTATATACCGCCATCTTTGTGTGTCTTAGATAAATGTTAGTAAATATTCTTTTGTTCTTCGCGTGCATACCAAACCATTATTCATGCTTTATCTTGCTCGGATTGGCCTGTCTTTCCATAGTACACATTGAAGACATTATGTAAGCGAACTGGCATTTTGTGACTTTAAATAGACAACTCTACCTATCCTGCTTAATGTCATCTCTAATATTGGTATAAAGCATTTGATTTATTTGTTGATTATTATTAAACCATTGATCATTACATCACGGACCTGTGTATTTTATTTCAATAATCAATGAAAACCGAAAAGTCGCAAGTGGAGAAATAACATCATTATATCGTAATATTCGACGTTTTACAGCCTGGTAAGACGCCATAATTCATGATAAACGACATAGACTATAGTGTATTACATTATAATGCAATATTTTATATGTGTACACAATATCTATATATCGACTGAAAATTTCTGTAACGAGAAAAATTAATGTGTATGACAAATCAAACTGTTACCCTTGAATATGTTTATTTATGTAAAATAAACAGCGCGTTTCACATTTAACATCTTTTTAAGAGACATAATATGCTTTTATGCTAAATACGAATAAAACGCAGCCAGTTGGGACTGTATACACGTTATCATCATAACTTTAAAATGGCAAAGAAAAAGGTAATTGATTATTTTCCTCTTTACTTCTAACATCAAGGGAATTGCTAGAATATAACCCTGTAGAATAACGTCTACATAATATTGCAATATATTCTTTAGTAGGCAATGACCCAGTTTCGAATATCATTCATTGTGCAAATACTTGAAAAAAAAATCCTACAAATTTGCTATTAAGATTATAATTTATACAGATATGTTTTCGTTTATCAAACATGTTAAATTACTATTTCTGTGTATCGTTGATATATATTCTTTCCTTATTAAATACATGTATTATGTGATTTTTTGATTATGTTAAACGTTTTATATAATATATAATTAAATACACAATGAAACAGATATATATTTGACAACCGTTTGTTCTGTGAGCGTTAGCATTGAAACTCTGATAAAAATCACTACGCGAAAATGAATGTGGTTTGGAAAAAGAAAATTAAAAATCTTAAAATGTTTTAATCATGATTTTGGCAAAACCTTAGAGACACTGTTTTGTGCATAACCAGTAGCCACAATACGTATGGAGGTATAGCGTCAGGAATACAATTTCAGATTATAACTGATGATTAAACATGTCATATCTGGTCATTATTTGGAATACATAAGACGTTGGAACCGGATAGAACATCGATCACCTACTTTTTAGTGTCTCAATTCATTTGGCCATTGAACATTATGCAGTAGAATGTGAACCATCAACAAATTATTTTATTATACACCCGAAAAAATGTACTATATAAGAATATTACATATTCGGATGCTATAAAAATACAAAAGCTGTAGGGGGGGGGGGGGGTCGTGAATTCTTGCGGCTTCAATAATAGCAAATGAATTGAAAATCCTAATTACACGTAGAATTTATAAGATCATCGATGTTTTTGTGTATTTAGTGAAACTGAATGTGGGACATCCTACAGAGTCGACCAGAGTTTCGAATAATCTCAGGGGCGTGGTGACCTATGATTTTGCATAATGAACAAGATTCCGTCTGCCCCCCCCCCCCCAATATTTATTTGTGTGTGCGGGGGAGAGGTGGGGTGGCTGTCCCTCCCAGTGCCACCGGGTAATATTGGGCTGTGTGAAACATGCTAGAGTCGATCTGTAGCATATTATCTGACCCACGGTGTATGTTTGACACTGGTTGGGCATTATGATTATGATTATAATGTTGAAAACCGCATTGAAACCTCGTGATTTTTTTTTTGCCATTTGCGAGGGGCGCAAAAATTCAAGGGAGCGCTAAAACTCATAACCATGATGCAAAGCTCGTCATTGCGTCTCTCTCACTTAGCTCCTGGATAACCTGCAGGTGA